ATAATGATATGTGCTGCTTGTATAATAATTCATTCCTGCTCTAATTACTTGACTGTTATGTAAAAAATGAGGAATATGGTACTTAATATTAGGGCAATGCATTAATAAACTTTAATGCATGGTATGCCCAACGTCGATGGGGTAATACTTCCCTGTAAGTAAGCAATATTATGACGAATAAGCACAAGCACATTTATACTAAATTGATTAATTTAACTGATAGGAAGACATTATAAATTATATTCATGCCTCAAAGATACAAATTGGAGAATATGACTATTATGAACACTACATTCCCATCTGACGATTATGAAGGTAAACCATATGTTAAAGTCATATATTTTTAATATATTCTATGTTAGAGATCCACAATGATGTATATATATGATATTTTTATTATCATCAACATGTGCATCAACATGTGTGACATAATGACTTCTATACAATCCTATTAGAAATTGAAACTATCATAATTAATCTTAAATAAAATATGCAAATGAAGTCATAAAATTATATAATAATTACCTTAAAGAATGACATGTATTTGATAAAATCACATGTTTCTCTGGCTGTACAACCAAAGTTAGGATTCATTAGTTTAATAATAGATTAAGACATTCTAACCAACGAGCTGAGATCAATATCAAAATATTTGCTAATAGTCACTGTTGAGTATTGAAATCATTCAGATGTAACACACATCGACTCATTATTTGATAACATATATGTATATATAATGATGGCCAATACTTGGGGTAATTTTGGACGATCTATACAAACCGTACTGATTTTGCAATTTATTTAGGAGACAACAAAATATCATTTTAGACATTTACAATATGTTGTGAATTTTATCTAGATGACTGAAGGAGCTCACCAATCTATTAGTCACATATTAAGGAGGATGTCATGCACGAGGTTTTACACAAATAAGGTTGGCAATACTCATTATTGTAAAATATTACAGTTATCAAAATGGAAATTCGTTGAATTATCTCTATATTTTTTTCTTCATTTGATAGATCCATCAGATCACTTCTTGCATTAATGATAGAAAAAATTAGTCATAAATTTGAATGGAATAATAAATTTATGTGCGATGGAACAACTAAAAAGAATATGTAATGCTTAATCAAAAAATTAGAATATACGTGAGATAAAATAACCAAGAAAAAATTACTGACTCATAATCAAGAAGAAGAAATTTAGATGAGGAAAAATAGTCAACTCTAAAATTCTAACTTTATAATACTACAAATATTCAAAAATAAGTCACATATACAATAGTAAAACATAAGAGATAAACAAAATATATTATTGAATTTGAGAATTAATGTTTTGCTCATAGGGGACATTAATTTGTTAAAGCATATTGCAAGGTGCCATTAATATATTATCTCTTATGTGGCCTGAGAGGACTTACAACCTTCAAAGAAGCTGCTCTACTAATAGGTCACGGTTGATTGTACAATTTATGTATATATATATATATATATATCAAATTTCATGCGATTTATCCATGTGCGGCGCCCAAGCAAAATAGGTGTCCTCCCTAGGTAATTTCGACATTCCGAACGCTCTGGCATAGTTTATTTTGCCGTCAGAGGTCATTTTGACGAATTCTCCGATTTGCGCGCCAATTTTCTCGTGTCGAAAGTATAGCAATATGGGTGTCCTTTCCTACCAAAATGGATATCCCGGACGCGTTGGCGCAGTCCAATTTGTTGTCGGAGGTCATCCAGAGAAGTTCGCGTTTTCACCCGTCCTTTGGGCTTAATTGAAATCCGATTTCGCGCAATTTCGTGAACTTCGTGTATTTTGTGTGTGTACGTGACGAAAAAGGTCGTGACGATGTTTTTCCTGAGGCTTGAAGTCCTATTTGGAACATCTTCCTTGAATATTTGCAAAATAGCCCATAACCGCTCGTTCATAAAACGATGGTCTTGTGTCAAAGATGCTAGACATCAAAGGAAAATAGGAATCGGCTGGAGCTTCTAGAAGGGTGAGTCTCAACTCTAGTTTTCTAAGATGGTCCATAGGGATTTCTAGAGCTAGAACTTAGGCTCTAAGGAGGAGAGGAAAAGACCTCACAAAAATGAGGTCAACATGGTGAAAACTGCAATGCTCTATGACCCAAAATGTTGGCCTTTAAAAGAGAAGTTTAAAACAAAGTTAGGTGTTGCTGAGATGAGAATGCTTAGGTGGATGAGTGGCTTGACACTTAGTGGCAAAATGTGAAATGAATATATCCGTGATAGGGTTGGTGCAACTCCAAAGAGTCGTCTTAGATGGTTTGGTCACATTAAACATTGACCATCTGATGATCCGATTAGGAGAGTAGGTGTTTTAGATTCGATTTATGTTAAGAAAGGCATACGTAGACCTAAAAAGACTTGATCATATTGTATTAAAATGATCTTAATCTATTAAAATTAAATAACAATCAATAGGACGCAATCGATAAAAAGGATGTAGCCGACCCCACTTACTGGGATATAACCTTGTTGTTGTTGTTGTTGTTATCTATATTTATGCATTAATCCCTTGTTTTTTTATATGTTATGAATTGCATTATTATATGTCCTTTATATGAATAAGTTTTAAAAGCATTAAATATTATTTGTTGGTTTGCTATAGGAATAGTTATTTGTAAATTCTAGATAGGTTTTTACCATATTTTGGAAGATCATTATTGTTTTTGTGCTATAGATGTTTTATTTTATTTTGAATTTATTACAGATATCTATACTTGTATTTAAAGAAAATGTGCCACAAGATTTTATTTATAGCATTATTTTTACAATATAGTAAAGTAGCGACTTTGCATGCTGTATTTTGCATAGGTGATCAAGGATCTTTCGCCTTCGAGCTTATTGTCTCAATAAATAGGTTATCAATTGAAATCTTAATGTGAATTTTTTAATTTTATAGGTTAACTCTGGGAGAAGGTTAGTTCCAACGACCCTTGGAACTGCTTTGATAAGGGGATACCAAAGCATAGATGCAGATCTTTGTTTGCCAGACATTCGTAGCTTTATTGAACATCAAATTACTCTCGTTGCTAAAGGAAAAGCGGACCATTTTCCTGTTGTTCAACATGTTCTTCAGCAATTCTTGCAGAAGTATTCTTATTTCGTCAAGAAGGTAGTCTTCTTAATGAATAAGTTTAAGGAAGATTTACATATACCACTCATGTATACTATGATGGCAAGTTGGTAGGCAGTTATGTTGTCAATCGTAAGACCCCTCTGACCCTGGTTCGATCCCTACGAGAACGGCTATCACATATGGGTAGCGGTATTTCCAAATACCACCCTTTCTAATATATATATATATATATATATA